AAATAATCTAAACATCCATCTCAAACCGTACAATTCAATACACAAACCAACTTCTTAGCTCATCTAGAACTCGGGATACAGTCATTTAGTTTCCGAGGTTAGAGGCGCAGCGTGTCTCGTCGTCTGCGTCTCTAGCCTCCTAAACTTGAATCGCCTCTATCACGGTTCTTAGAAGCGCTAGAAATGTGATTTGTAGACAGAATTGTAGAAAATTTTGTCTATTTCATCCTCTCAATTTTTCAAAGTGATCGGAAGCTTGACAGCCAAGCTCTAGACACCCTGGAAGAAAATCATGACATCTTATGATTGAAAAAAAGGGCTTTAAAAATGATTTCTCAAAATATACAAGAATCGTAAAATGGCCGAAAATCAACTGAAAAGCACGTTTTTGTATATTTTATGGACCAGCACTGTATCTCAACTTTCGTTTTTTTCAGCGACTCTCGAGGAGTCCTTCCAGCTGATGGCTGAGCGATTCAAATATCTTGAAGAAAAAATTAAGGTGGAAAAATGTCCGTACAACACATTCTGCATCAGCTGCCTTGCGGTGAAAAGAGCTTACAACCATGGATGCCTGCAGACTCCATGGAAAGAAGCTTTTGAAAACGCTTTCTTGGGAGTTTCGATGCTAAACTCAACGTTCGTGGACCATTGTTGGGATGTGTCAGCTCAGTCTGCTGGACCAGATGCCGTATATGAAAAAAGGAAGGTTAAATTGGTTAGTTTTTTGCATGAAATTGGTTTTCAATCAGATATATTCATGTTTGGGTTTCAGATGAGAACATGTGTTCGAGATGAAGATGCATATGACGCTCAAGAAATGAACATTGCCTACCGTGTCGACTCTGCTCAAGACACATCCCACGCATTCAACAATATCGAAGTGCCGATTTCAAAGAAGGACAATGGTAAGTCATCCGAGAAAAAAAAATCCCAAGAATATTTCAAATTTTAAGACCAAATGATCCATCGCTATTTGCAAACGTATGAACGTTTGCAATGGCTGAAGCATAGCGACATTCCGATGACTAAGCCAATGTCCCGCGGTCCGAAAGTCACTGAATATATGTTTTGCATTTTCTGCTACAAACTGCACCATATCGACGCCGAAGAGTGTCCATCAAAAGAAAATGAGAGAGAAGCTGTCCGACAGCTTCACGCCAAGTCGAGTGGGATTTCAATGCTCAACAAGGAGGTGGTAGAAGCTATGCTGGAATTTTTCGACAAGAAACACGAGTACCATTTGAAGCTGAAGAATAAGAAGGGACCATTCATTGCGAGTTTTTTTTTGTTGCAAAAATTGATTGCCAGAAAGAACCTCTCACATTCAATTCGTAGATTTCCGGTCGTTTCAACAGTTTTTGTAACTTTGGAAATTTTGGTTTTTGTTTGTAAAATAGACAAAAATGTCTACAATTCTGTCAAGAAATCACATTTCTAGCACTTCTAGAAACCGAGATAGAGCCGTTCCAAGTTTAGGAGGCTAGAGACGCAGACGACGAGACACGCTGCGTCTCTAACCTCGGAAACTTCAAATGACCTATCTCGAGTTCTATATTAATTTGAAAGTTAGTTGTTGAACACAATTGTAGGGCTTACAACGAGGTTTAAGATTGTTTACTAAAATTTTGAAGTTTTGAAATTCAAGAATCCAAAGATCAATGGATCTTGGGATCTTGGGATCTCTCAACCTTGGTATTATAAAATATACAAAATTTTCTACAAATATGTCTAAAACTGCTATTCTAGCGTTACTAGAAACCGAGATAAAGCAGAGTTCCACAGGCTAGAGACGCAGACGACGAGGCACGCTGCGTCTCTAACCTCGAAAACTTCAAATGACAGTATTTCGAGTTCTAGATGAGCAAGGAAATTGGTTTTTGGACAGAATTGTAAGGTTCGAAATAGATTTTCAGATTATTGAAAACAGTCTCTAGGTGGATTATATTGAAATAAAATGTTTTGCAGGACTCGCCTCAAGAAGAGAAGCCAGGATCTGGAAAGCCTGTGACAGACGGTAAAGTTTTCTTATGTAAAAATTATAAATTGTATTTTTTTTTTCAGCCGAAATGCAAAAAGCTTTCAATCAAATCCATAAAAGTCTTATGATGCAAAACGGACCAATTGACAAGAACCGAAAGGATTATTGTTTTCAATGCTCTCTCCCAAGGAATTGTCAGTGTCCAAATGGTCCTGCACTCAAACAGGCAACACAAAAATTTTGGGAGATCACGGAAGATATTCAAGTTATGGATGGGGACCTCAAGAAAAGATGTGCAGATTTTGCTTTGTACGAGGCAGGGATTCATGAGAAAAATGTCGAGGCGATACAACTTTCGGAGGTTAGTTTGCTTTGCTTTTGCACGCCTCGACTTGTACATACCTTTGCTAATTATAACTTTTTTCATAAATAATCTAAAAACCCATTTCTAATCCTGCAATTCTGTCTAAAATGCAACTTCCTAGCTCATCTAAAACTTGAGATACGGTCATTTGAAGTTCCCGAGGTTAGAGGCGCAGCGTGTCTCGTCGTCTGCGTCTCTAGCCTCCTAAACTTGAAGCGCCTCTATCACGGTTCTTAGAAGCGTTTGAAAAGTGATTTTTGATAGAATTGTATGAAATTTTGCCTATTTTGCATCTAGAAAGATGTTTTCAAAAATTACAAAAAATGGCCGAAAATCAACTGAAAAACGCGTTTTTCATATATTTATGGCTAGCACTCAATAACTGAAACCTATTTCAGAGCTTGAGAGATTTTGCCAAGGAAATGGACTCGTCAGAGTATGTGAGCAGCGACGAAGAAACAATGAAGAGAGATAAGAAGAAGTCAGAGCGGAGAATCGCAATCCAAGGACCGCCCGATGATATTTCGTCCGACGATAATGCTGATGAATGTGCTCCAAGTACTTCTAACCAATCGTTCCATCGATATCGCCGTTCAATTCCAGGTTTGAAAAAATCATCCACCAAAATAATCACGACAATTGACTAAAAACTACCAAATCGCGAAAATCACAATTCTAGCTCTGAAAATCACAATTCTAGCGCTTCTAGGAACCGAGATAGAGCCGCTCCAAGTTCACGAGGTTAGAGACGCAGACGACGAGGCACGCTGCGTCTCTAACCTCGGAAACTTCAAATGACCGTATCTAGAGTTCTAGATGAGCTAGGAAGTTGGTTTTCGGACAGAATTGTATGGTTTGAAATGGATTTCAGATGATATTTAGATTAACTATAAAATTCTTTGATTTTTGGAAGATGCAAAAATTAGAAGTTTCGTTTTCAATGTAACTTTGGTAACAGTTTAAAAAATGACCATAACTTTCTTCGAACGCAAGATTTCAAAATGGTCTTATTTGGAAACCGAGGCAGGTGTCTTTGTCTTGGGCTGTTCACTTTCTAGTCGGAGATCACCGATTGCGACATAGATTTTAAAAAGCGCTATCAAATGCTATGAAATTCAGCTAGCTGAAAATTTTGACTTTGTGGTTATTTGGACAATTTTGAATACAAGGCAGAGACCGCTGAAAAAGGAGCTTTTTCTTATTATATGTATTATAAAATAGACAAAATTTCCTGTAATACTGTCCAAAAATCACATTTCTAGCGCTTCTAGGAACCAAGATAGAGCCGCTTCAATTTTACGAGGCTAGAGACGCAGACGACGAGACACGCTGCATCTCTTACCTACGGAAACTTCAAATGAGCGTATCTTGAGTTCTAGATGAGCTGGGAAGTTTGTTTTTGGACAGAATTATAGGGTTTGAAATGGATTTTTAGAATAAAAACTTGAATAATCAATTTTTCAGGACCGAGTGATCCAGATATTGAAATTGTAGACGAGTATTCAGATCACGATGAACTCGCCGATGAAAAAGAAGCAGTGAGCAATGGTATTTTTTCAAGTATTTTTTCTGAATTTGACCTCTATTCTAAATTTTTCCAGTGGAAGCAGAAACGTCATTCAGAAAGATACTCATCGTTCTGAATGAGATGGACATCGGCGCTCCAACTATCAGTTGGAACCGGTTCTGTAAGAATTACAGAACTCTGTATAGTCAAAATTACCCTGGTCCAAGAAACGAGGCAGATATTTTTGCCAAGAACGCATTTCGAAAAATTCGAAATAGATTCGAAGCAATGAATAAGGATACGCTGAAGCTTTTCAACGGATTCACTTTTGTCAACACGATAAAATATGTAAATTTGTGTGAAATTGATAAGCTGCGCCAGGTTAGTTTGTAGTAGGGTTCCGAATTTGAAAAAGAGGGATGAGCTTTTACGTGAAAATGAGCTTTTCAAATAGCTCATTAAAGGTGGGGGCATGAAAAAATAATGTTCTCGAAATTCCGTTCAAAGATGCCCCTCGAGGAGTTGAACTTGTGAGGGCGATGATTGAGGGTGCGGCGCCGCAACCGACTGAGCCACGCGGGCAAACAGAAAGGGCACGCCCGATTGCATACATAAAGGCGAGGACGACAGCTGTACGCAGAGTGACATTAAGCGTTGTACACCGTCACGGTAGAATGCATACTCTAGCTACAAAAAAACTACGAAAAATCTCGTGTCCCCCCACCTTTAAAAATTATTCATTTTTGAACGTTTTTGACACGTTCTTAGCTATTCATCCAGTTTTTCAATTAAATCTGGGAAAATTGCAGAAAGATGAACGCTGGGAGACCGTGAGAATGAAACAATAAAAATAAGAAAAATTTATCATTCACTGCAAACTCGATGATTTTCCTATTCGTCAAATTGGCAAGCGCTGGGAAGGACATTTTGGGAGAAGAAAATTACCTGAAATAGAAATATAGGGAATTCAAATCGCGAAGAGATGTAACATCAAAATGAGACAAATATACAGAGTTCGTGAGAATTTGGACGCTCCTGTCCCCCCACCTTTAAGGCTCATTTGGTTTTGAATGGGCTTTTTGAAAAAAAAACAAAAAAAAACTCACGCGACTCTTTTTTAGCTTTTTCAAAAAGCTCATAAAGGCTCATGAGGCTCATTCAGTGATTTTCAATAAAAAGCTCATTATGACTCATAATCCATAATGAAAGGAAAATAATTGTTTTAAAGGTGGGGGGACAGGAGATTTTTCGTAGTTTTTTTGTAGCCAGAGTATGCATTCTACCGTAACGGTGTACAACGTTTAATGTCACTCTGCGTACAGCTGTCGTCCTCGCCTTTATGTATGCAATCGAGGTGCCGCTCTCTCTTTGCCCGCGTAGCTCAGTCGGTAGCGGCGCCGCACCCCCAATCCTCGTCCTCACAAGTTCAACTCCTCGAGGGGCATCTTTGAACGGAATTTCGAGAACATTATTTTTTTTCATGTCCCCACACCTTTAAAAATCAGGAATTTAAGAATGTAGCTCATAAAAAACGCCATAAAATAATTTATAACACCACTAGGCTCCCAAATTGAGACTTTTGTGCAGGCGCCGTTGAACCGCCAAAAATAAAAAACCGCTAAACAAACATAGAGCACTGATGGTTTTTTGATTGTAATTTCTATGAAATCAAGGTTTTGATATTGTCTTAATTGAAAAATGTGTATCTTAAAAAGTGCTACAAAATTATGTAAAAGTTCAGCCAACTGCTAATTTTGACCTTTTGAAAACAAGACAAAGACAGCCGAAAGAAAATTCTATGAGAAAATAATTATTTTTAATCATAAATAAATAGACAAAATTTCCTACAATTCTATCTAAAAATCACATTTCTAGCGCTTCTAAGAACCGAGATAGAGGCGCTTCAAATTTAGAAGGCTAGAGACGCAGACGACGAGACACGCTGCGTCTCTAACCTCGGAAACTTCAAACGACCGTATCTGGAGTTCTAGATGAGCTAGAAAGTTGGTTTTTGGACAGAATTGTAGAGTTTGAAATAGGGGTCCGTGGCTCAGTCGGTAGTGGCGTGGCTCAGTCGGTAGTGGCGCCGCACCCTCAATCATCGTCCTCACAAGTTCAACTCCTCGAGGGGCATCTTTAAACGGAATTTCGAGAACATTATTTTTTCATGTCCTCCCACCTTTAAAAAGTCACTGCTATCATGAAAAAATCACCATTTTGATATGGTGGCCTAACTTTTTGATGGAGTTTTCAAAGCAATTTTAACACGGTTGCCAAGGAAACAAATCAGGTGAATGCCAGACCATTGATAGGCCATAAAAGTTGTTGGCCTAGAATACTCAAAATGTAGAAGTGAGAACATTGTGTCCAAATGAGCTAGAAACCCTATCAGGTGAATTTCAGACGAGTTATGTTAAAATGACGTAGAAAACACACCAATGAATAACTTCAATTTGCAAAAGCTAGCAATTTGCAAAAGCTAGGCCGTCATGTTAAATGGCCTAAAATGGTCTAATATTCAGCTAGTGTGTTTTCTAGGCCATTTTAGTTTGGTGGCCTAGAAAACTCACTTGCAAAAATTAGGACACCAATTGAAAATGGCGTTTATATGGTTTGATATCCACCTGATAAGACTTCTAGGCCGTTTTCACATGATGACCTAATTTTTGCAAGATAATTTTTCTAGGCCACTATTGTTTATTTCAGGCCACCATCGTGCTCACGTGAGCTTAAGCTCATGACTGAGCTTTTTTCGGAACCCTAGTTTGTAGTCAGTAAAAAAAGGACCAAGAAGGGTGTCCTTGGTACTGTACACTGTCCAAGCAAGACTTTTTATTTAATAATCTGAAAATTCCATTTCAACCCGTAGAATTCTGTTCAAAAACCAACTACCTAGCTCACCTAGAACACGAGATACGGTCATTTGAAGTTTCCGAGGTTAGAGGCGTAGCGTGTCTCTTCGTCTGCGTCTCTAGCCTCCGGTGTTTGTAGCAGCTCTATCTCGGTTTCTAGAAGCGCTAAAAATGTGATTTTTAAACAGAATGGTAGGAAATTGTGTCTATTTTACCCTCCAAACTTTAAAATGGCTGTGTACCTGAAACTAAAATAATGTTTTCAGAGCAAAACCAAGAAGGATCGAAAGACGGAAAGTGATCAAGAAGCAGACCCAGGAGACGATGGAGACGACGAGAAAGAAGAAGAAGGAATAACGATAGATTCTGATGACAATGACGAGTAAGAATATTTCAGCCTTCGCGAGCCCTGCCATAGTTTCTTTTAGAATCAATATTTGCCGACCAACTAAATTAGATATAATAGAACTCGACAAGTACTACAAAATTATACTATTTGGAGAACAGTGTTTTGTCTATGGACAAAGTTAATGACAATACAACAGGACCGGCTAGTTTATGGCTTGTAACTTCGTTCATTGACAAGACACAGTTTTTCAAATATTATCATTTTGTAGCACTCGTCAAGTTCTACATATTCTAGTTAATTTAGTTAATCTGAAAATGTTGACTTTTATGGCAGAGCCCGCGAAGACCCGGTTTGCAAGTATGTAAAAAACTTTTTTTTCAGAGTGAATCCTGCCGAGCCGATGAAGAGAAAAGTGGGAAGACCACAAGGCTGGCGAAAATCGAGGTAACCAGTTTTATCCGGGAAAACTTGAAAAATAACTTTGAAACATTTTTTTTCAGAACCAACCAAGGCCCTGTGGTGCGTCTTCGAGGAAGAAGAAGACCTCGTTGCTTGAAAACCAAAAAGTACAATTTTTTGTGTACATTTTCAATGAAAAGAAATTTCACATTTTGCAGAGCTGACGAACCACCGAAGAAGAAGAAGTCGAAGAACATCATAGGAGGCCGAGGATCCAGATGATTAATTTTGAAGTTATTCTTCCTTCCCCTCTTTTTTGTCCATTGTCCATTTCTTCATAATCATCTCAATCTACCGTACTCCAATAATCATACCCTGAAAACATCACCTTAGTTTCAGATAAGCTGTATTACAAACTGCATTTTCAATTTCAACCATATTTTAATATTGCTCAGGTTTGAGCCTTTTTTTTTGAATATGAATTACTTTTTCTGAATATTTAATACATTTATTCGAATATTTTGTTTTTTTCACGAGATCCCACTCTCTTTTTGAAGGGGTTATTGACCCGAAGTTCGAATTCAAAACTGACCTCGAAATGGCATTAAAACACAGTGTTTCCATTTTTTCAGTTTTCAACAATTTCAAAATTCTCTTAAATAATCTGGACCCCTATTTCAAACTCTACAATTCTGTCCAAAAACCAACTTTCTAGCTCATCAAGAACTCGAGATACGGTCATTTGAAGTTTCCAAGGTTAGAGACGCAGCGTGTCTCGTCGTCTGCGTCTCTAGCCTTCTAAATTTGAAGCGCCTCTATCTCGGTTCTTAGAAGCGCTAGAAATGTGATTTTTAGATAGAATTGTAGGAAATTTTGTCTATTTATTTATGATTAAAAATAATTATTTTCTCATAGAATTTTCTTTCGGCTGTCTTTGTCTTGTTTTCAAAAGGTCAAAATTAGCAGTTGGCTGAACTTTTACATAATTTTGTAGCACTTTTTAAGATACACATTTTTCAATTAAGACAATATCAAAACCTTGATTTCATAGAGAATTACAATCAAAAAACCATCGTGCTCTATGTTTGTTTAGCGGTTTTTTATTTTTGGCGGTTCAACGGCGCCTGCACAAAAGTCTCAATTTGGGAGCCTAGTGGTGTTATAAATTATTTTATGGCGTTTTTTATGAGCTACATTCTTAAATTCCTGATTTTTAAAGGTGGGGGGACATAAAAAAAAATAATGTTCTCGATATTCCGTCTAAATATGCCCCTCGAGGAGTTGAACTTGTGAGGACGAGGATTGGGGGTGCGGCGCCGCTACCGACTGAGCTACGCGGGCAAAGAGAGAGCGGCACCTCGATTGCATACATAAAGGCGAGGACGACAGCTGTACGCAGAGTGACATTAAGCGTTGTACACCGTGACGGTAGAATGCACAAGTTTCTTATTGCTAAGTGTTAGTTGTTGTAACATGAATTAGATGATAAAAAACCGATTCATTCTGTTGTTCTTTAAATATTCAAAACAAATTTTTGTAAATTATCAGATTCATTTCAGCATTATCAGAATTTGAATTAATACAGAAATTACATTTTTGTTGTTAAAAAGAATTAATGAATTGCGAACAAAGAACAATAATTTAATTGAAAACAAGTGCTTTTTTGAAAAGTTCTGCAAGATTTTTTGGGTCCATTTCCATGGGATCCGCTGGAATAACTGAACGAATATCCGCTTTTGATTTGATTTCATCCAGGCAATGTTTCTGAAAAAAGTCAATAAACTGCTCAGTTTTAAATTATTCGTCTAAAACTCACTTTCAGTCCCTCCATTCTATAATTTCCAGCCATTTCCAACTTTTCTTTCAATCCCTTTTTTGATTTTTCAAGCAAAAATTTCTCGCATTTTTTGACAATTATTGGAGTGTCGAACAAATAAGCCACTGATAAAATTCCTTGGACAGTATCATCTGAAATTGCTCTTTTCAAAATATACGGTAAGTACAGTAACCCACCATCAATTCCATTTTCTAGATGTAGAACTTCAAGATAGTATTGGAAGTCTTGAGGATTGACATCTTTCAATTCGATTTCTGATTTTTCAGATTCTTGAAATCTTCCCAAAAATAAAGTTGCAAAATATGGAGAATGAGAGGAGAGGTACTGAAAAAGTTGAATAGATGAAAATCAAAAACTGAAAAAATGACTCACCAACTTCGAAATATAGAATTTCCGCTCTTTTACTTTCAATGTGACATCGGAGAATTGTTTCATATCCTCTCCGAAACTTCTTAAATCTTTTCTGGGAAATTCATTCATTTCTTCCGGAAAGCCAACCATTTTGTTTATTTTCACATGAACTTCCACTTCCAATTTTCCATCATCCAGATATTCATCTTCCAAAGTTCTCCATTCAATGAATTTCTCCCAACCATGAATATAATTGAGTGGATCGACGTGTCTTTCCAACACATAACTCTTAGACTTTGAATGATTTTTTCTCCCGGTTTTTCGAGAATATTCTCAGGGTATAATTAGTGTGAGTTTCTTGATTTTCCGTCAAATTTGTGTATAAAAATATTTCGACGTGTTCGTTCTTTTTTTGAATTCCTATACTCCTGCAATTGAATTCACATACAAATATAATTTAAAAAATGAGCAATAAGACCTACCATCCGATACCAAAATGTTCTTTTTTTGGACTACAGAGATAGTGATTTTGCTCGAGTTTCTCAACATCAGTGAATATATGTTTCAGAGTGAATTCTCTTTCAGTCATCTGAAAAAAAAAGTTTTCTGGAAAAGCTGAAAATTGAGAAAAAATATATAGGAAAAAGAGCGAAACTGATAATATCAATGTTAAACGTAGAAAGTAGAAAGAGAACTGTGTAACCAAAAAGTGGGGGAAGGGAGTGATAAGAAATTCAGTGATTAGCAATTTTTGTGCACAACTTATTCAAAAAAAGTTCAAAATTAGATACTTTGAGACAGTTTTTGAGAATCACAGGTAAATTTTGAAATCAGAAATCATGCATTTTGAAGTTTCAGTTTTCACACACACACACACACACACACACACACACACACACACACACACACACACACACACACACACACACACAGAAAAGTTTCCTTAGTAAGAAGTAGATACTCTGGCCCCAAAAATCCCCCGTAAAATCTCCTGTCCCTCCACCTTTAATAAGTGAGTTATAGTCATTTTTAAAAACTGGTCTCAAAATGACATTCAAAACACAGTTTCGAGTTTTTCGAAAATTTCGTAATTAATCTAGCAATTAAATTCAAACCATGCAATTCTGTCCAAAAATTAATTTCCCAGCAAGTGATTGGAGAAGTGATAGTCAAGCTTCAGACTTCTGAAAACGGTCAAAACCGATTCTTGGACGCAACTTTCCTGCTCAGATTCATTGGAAAAACAAACTGATATTGAGATCAAAAAGAATAAAGCTAAATACAATGAAAAGTGTTATAATTCAAAAAAAAAACCGTTGACGAAAATTAAATGGGAATGCACAACATTTGCAAAAATTGAACCAGAAGAAAGAAAATGCAGTTTTCAGGAAGTATTGATACAGGATTCAAATACCGAGCTGACAAATAAGCAATGAGCTTTGCAAAGGGAAGGGACTACAAAGGGACACATGACAAAGAGAAAAACCGAAAATCGGGATAGTTTAGGGACACGGGGTCAACATAGATACAAAATACAATAGAAGTTGAAGCTAGAGAATTAGAAATATTGAAAAGTGGCTCCTTGGCTCCAGATTACATTTTTTCATATTGACCTAATTACGAAAAGACGCAGCTTCTTCTCTAGCCGTTCTCTCCTTATAGTACCGGCGCACCTGAAATTTATATATTTCGTACTGTAGAAAATGTGGGAGGCAATTTCGAGGTCATTTTTCGGATTTTTCAATTTGGGGTTCCTTTTTGGGTATCTTCATAAAGGCTAGCGATTACCGAACTGTATAGCTCAAATGGTAGAGGCTCTCTAGAAATTTAATCCCTCGAATGGCTTCTATTGACCAACGAAAAGCCGAATCCAAGGCTGTAGGAATTAGGACCACGGCTTTTTGGTTACGGTACTTCTGGGATAAGTAGGATTCGGCAGCCCTATTTCTGTATAGCTGATCTTATTTCCGAAGAAACGGACTAGCCTATGTTCTAGGCAACGGCCGACCACAGTTTTATTTTGACAGTCTTGGTCCCATTACTTAAATAAAACTTACATCTGCCTCTGTCAATTGGTGAACTCTGGACCAGGAGAGGAATTTGATATTCTTGATATTTGCCTCTCGATCATATGTCATATGGAGCAATGCCATCTCACTCGGGAGGACCTTTTCAGCTCCAGGCGTCTTCTCCAATTCTTGAATTTTTAGGGCTCGTTGTTCTTTGAACCAGTTGTGGATCTGTAAAAGTTCAGAAATGTAGAAATTCAGACTTTCCAGGAATACCGTATTTTTTCTATCTGAAACCCACTTATCCGTGCAGTTTAAACTCAATTATCTCGGTTCCTTGTCAACTAAGAAAATGTTTATCACATTATCACCAACATTTTATCAATTAACAGATTCATGATATCTTATGTAGGAACCGAGATAATTGAGCTCAAAATTTAAAATACGGTATCAGAAGTTCAGAACTTTCAGAACCCTCAAATTTTGTTAAAGGAGGCGAGACAGCAAAAATTTCGGGGGCCAGTTCGGGGGACGAAATCGCGCAGCGCTTATGTAGACTATCGGTCGTCAGGCGCCTTCGCGCCCCCGTAGCTTAGCCGGTAGCGGCGCTGTACCCCTGAGCTGCACAGGTAGAGGGGGACTGCCGAAAAACTGCTGAATGACAGCTGAAGAGGCGCAAACTAGCGAATGACTGCTAGTTGGCAGTCGAAGGAGAACTGACGGGCCGTCGCCGGTCCGTCGACGGTCCGTCGACGGACAGTCGGAACCCGTTGGAAAACTGAATTGCAGGTTTTGATTGGAAATCGTTCAGAAAACAATTTTCCATACTCCCACTAAATTATAGAATAATGACAGAAGCTAATTTTGCTCATATCAGACCACCTCTAAAAATAGGTTGTTAAACGACTGCTAATTGACAGTCTAATTGACAGTTGACTGGTCAATGACTGGTGGTTGGCGGGTCAAATTTATGTAGAAGGGAAAATTTGAGTGAAAAATAATCTTTCTCTTTAAACATCATAAAAGTCATAGACGAATTTGGAAATCTAAAAATGTGTTATTACAAGCATTTCTACGAAAGTTAGAATCTGAGGCGCGGTTGGTGAAGAACGGCCAAACGACAGACGAAGAGGAGCTGACTGGGCAGCTGGATGAAAAAAATCTGTAAAGGTCGGTGTCCCAATTAAGATGGAGAAAGAGTAGGGCATCGAGGCCAATGACGTAACACCCGGTTGGGAATCCTGTCAGCTGCAAACCAGCAAACCGGCATACCTTTTTTTTGTCTATTATTTTCATAATATTTTGTTTTCTAGTTTTAACTGAAAGTAATGCCGCGCACACCATTTCGGCTGTTTTCTCCTATTCAATTTGGCCCAGGGCCACAAGATGAAGAAAGCGAAGAGACATCGAGCCCAGACATCACTAGAGAATCTGAGGATACTCTTGAAGATCCATACACCATAGATGACATAGACTACGACGATGATGAATCAGGTTCAGGTATCATAGTCCATTATCTAAAAAGAAAAAAAATATGATAGTTTTCAGATCTGTCCAGCACTCTGAAATCGGTTTCTGACGAGGTTTTAGTTTTTGTAGCTGGCGCATGCCTCGAAAGAATGTCAGATTCTGGATTTGGTAGAATGCTCTCTTCTCAAGATGAGGGGTTTCGCAAACAAGCATGGAAGCTATGGAAAAATGATCTGACAACATTCAGCATTCATGAAGTATGCAATGGCTGTGGAAAGGAAGTTGATGGGAGCTGGTACTCTAATAGTCTGAATGACCCTTGAATGTAATCATTTTTAGTTGTTCTGAAGTGATTCGTTACGTGCGCACAGGAGGATTCTCTCAATTGATTGATATCGTGAAGCAGCACTTGGAAAGTATTTTGAGTATTCGAGAACGTTTACGAGATGGCACCGAAAGAACACACAATCTATTAGGATCTTATATTGGAAGACTTTGGAAGTCGGAATATGGGAACCGGCTGAAACTTTCTCTCCTTGGTTCCGTTGACGGTGTAAATCTGAATGGAAACACGAGGTACTCCAATTTTCAAATAAAATCCAGAATTAGAAAGATTCTAGATCGAAATTGTGGCCTGTCACTATGTTACTGGTAGATCTACCAACAGCGGAAGCACAAAGAGCCAAAAACATAGTTCTACATGGAATTGCAGAAGGTGCAACAAATCCTTCGACTTCATTTTGGAACACCGTCATAAACTGGATATATATATTGATCTAGAACGATCGATCGAAGTAAATGGGTTCCATGTTCAAGTTGGAATATGTTCTTGGGTGGCAGATCAGCCTGTAGGTCTAATTTTCATGCACTTCCATTTCAAAGTGTTCTTCAGGCCAAGCGTGCGCTTTTTGGAATGAAAGGATGTAACTCAGAAGGCAGCTGTTTTTTTGGAATGTGTACGGGAACACATCACAATACAAAATCTGAGGACAGGTGCGTAGCCAGAGCAGACAGCCTGACAGACGAGGACGCAGCAAATGGCAGACATGGATTTGGAAGAACCATCCCGCGAGTTGTTAATTATTGTTATCCATATGACACTGTAATTGATATTCTTCACAATGCTTCTGGTGGAATATTTTCTCTTGTCCTCAAAGGTATCCATCATCAACCAAAAACAATAATTAGTTAACAAATTCAGAAACTTTGCCACCCTCTCCGAACATCGAGCGCAAATCCGATCTCTTCCAGAACAATCATAATCTTCATTCCAATTTGTGCAAGTCCGTGGAACTTCCAAAAGAATTTGATATTCGAAATATCACAAATTGCTCAGAGAAAATTACGGTATTATATGATGAAAAACTGGTATCCAGCCACATTTTCAGTTTTTCCGCACCTCGTTTGGTTTGTCTGCTCTTGTCAACCCAAGTCTTAAAGATGAAGCGAGAATGGTTATCTGCTCACTGATGCTTCTCAAAAACTCTTTTTACACTAATGTGCCGGTTACCAACACGAGATTCTACAAGCATCTCTGTGATTCGGCAAGATGGGGTTTGGAATAAGCATCACAGCATTATCTAGCCACCAAAGCTCATGTATGTGCTACTCCTAGAAATACATCAAATTGATTTGCCTTTAGGAACTCCTTTCACACCTTCCTGAAGTAGTTGACAAATTCGGGAATATTGCTTGTCTCTCTACTTTCTGTTATGAGCAAATTTGCACGGAAAGGGTTTAGCCCACAGAAAACCAAGGGCTTCACAGAATCGGCTATATCCAGACAAGTCAACAATGAGAATATATAGAGTCCACTGCTTATTTCAGGCTGCTACTTCATTCTGGTATTAGTCGAGAAATTCAACAACGAGATACAAACTCGCCATCTTCCTCCATCAATGAATTTTTGCGTTTCACCCCATCACTGAAACTTTTCTAACCTTCGTGGAGAAATCTGATCAAAGAGGTGAAGCCGGAAGATGCAGTACAAGAATTGGCAGACTTCTCTCTTTATGCTACCCTCACTCTGTCTCTCGGGCGACTGGAATCTGTATACTGGGAAGGATCGGTTTCGAACCAAATATTTTTTGCTGTGAATAATGATGGAGTCCATTGTTGCTACAAATTCATATATGTTGCTGTTCATGGGGTTGATGTCTACATTTATGCTGAAAAGATTCGCTCAATATGTGGAATAGAGCAGTTCAATCTGTTGAAGCAAGTTGCTGATAACTTGCCAAGACCATTCAACACCTTTGGAGAAACACTACTGAACCAGTTCAAGAGATACAGAGGGATCGTTCACGGGAAGCCTAGCGGCGAACGAGAAGTTGTTTCTTTTGATAGCATCAGAGGCGTTGGTGCTTATATCCCAGACGGTTCATCGGCTTATATCCCAGACGGTTCATCCGCTGAATTATCTGCCGCTGAATGGAGCTTGCGTCTATCATTAAATTTAATGTTTCTTGCAATCGAAATATATTCCATTTAGTTTGGTGATAAATAAAATTCAAGAAACAGGCACAACCAATTTATTTGAAAAGAGATCTCGTAAATCCACACAACGACACTCCGCTATCCCGCTTGCAGGCTGTCATTTTATTGGCCTATTTCCTCCTATTTTCGGTGTTTCCCGTGTTAATTTCTTTCAAAACCTCCACATATTTTCACTTTCAGACAGAAGAGTCTCATGTTGCCTGGGGATCATTTGTATAAAGAGCGATGGTCCGGTGGTTCAGCCCAGGTTTAACACATTTCACAGCTTTCCAACAACTTCTCTATTTAGAATCGCCCCACGACAACGCCTGTCTCCGGTCGGTATAATGTTTTGACAAGAGAACAAAAGCCGACGAAATTAGATGAGGTACTAAATAACATTTTCAATTAATATTATTCTTGTTGTAGCGCATGAGGGTTCACGAGCCGGCTCACAAAGAACGAGGAGAGATGAGCGATGACTATTTTTGGGAGCAACGAAACGAATCGAGTGAACGAGTGGGTTTGCGTCGCGAGTTCTCCGAGGAGGACGATGATAGCGAACAGGCAGAAAGTCCATCAAGAAAAAATCGTTTATCTTCTAGCCACAATTTATGGAACCCGTCTGACTTCATTCAGAACACATGTTTTGATAGAGTTACGGGTGAATTGTTGTCGAGAAAACAATGTCTCGTAAGCATATGTTGTACAAGTACCTGAAAAAATAAGGTTTCTTCCAGTTCAACATGAATCGAGCAACGAAGAAACGCAAGAAGACGGATTTCCACGCAATTCTCAAAGCTAAGAATTGCTTAGCTCATCGTAATATTGCTTATAGCCTCTACATGGGTGACAAGCGTCTTGGGAAAAATTGTGATACTCGAAAGGATCACGTGGTAGTTGTGATAGTAAAAACAGCAATGAAACTTTCATTGCAGGCTGCTCCTCTTGTTGGATTTGATTTAGATGACGGGCGGAAAGAAGATGACGAGATTTTGCTGCCAGGTGGGAAACGAGTTATGATCTCAAAGCTTATCGATCCGACGGCTTGTACCAACTGGGTTGGTTCCACTGCTGTTTCCAAGGCTGTTGTTTCTGTTTTGAAATTGGTGAGTTCGCATCGCTAGACAGCTTTCATGACAAATTTTCAGATTCAAGCTCGAGATCCATACTTCCTCATCTATTCGTCTCCAGAAAGCAGTAGAAGTACTGATTACCCTCCGATAGATGACGATTTCTTCAGAATTTTTGCCAGTAAGCTGACAGCATCTTCCCTAGATTGAATTAACAACTAGATATTCTTCAGACGTCCTGAAAGCCGGCTTCAAAATCGTCGAGTCCTCTTCATCGCTCATATCGCTTGCATCGTCGATCCGAAGAACAACGCGAAATTACATGTGAGAAAAATTGATTTTACTCCCCTCATATCGTTCTCAACCTTTCAGCGACAAGCAGCGAAAAAGTGCAACTTCAATTGATCTTTCCAAGATGCTCTCGGATTTCATGGAAAAATTTAAAATGTAAGACTTCGGTTTATTGTACCATCACTTCACGTTATCGTTTCAGAGATTCTGAATTTCGCCTATCCGAACCATCAATCGAAAACTGTGGAACAATTACTAAAAATCTCTGGACCATCCGTACGCCTTCAACTGAAGAATCTAAAAAGTTGAAATCCGTATCGCCTATATTGTCTGAAGAAGGATTGCAAACGGTCGATGATAGCCAACCATCGACGTCATCAACGCCTATTAGTGGAAAAAAGCGTATTCACCAAAATCATTCGGAATACGGGAGAATTATCGGACGTCGGATTATCACTAAACCAGTTCATTCGTCATCGGAAGGTCTCGCGAAGTTTACACGATTTTCAAAAAAGGGAAAACTTGAGAAATAATTACTGAACGATCTTTGTTTGATCTTTTTTGTTGTTGTTGAGTAGCCATATATGGTGTCTGTTGTTTCTTTTTTTTTCCTTCTGTTCCCCTTCTAATTTTTACCCTATTTCACGTTTTTGTTGTTGCCAGGATAGGCCTGTTTAACCAATAAATTTTTATTGGTATAAGTTTCGATCTAAAGTCACAAGCTAGAATGTGATGAACAACAGCTATTGAATAATGAACTGTCGAGAAGGCGCAACAATTTTAGACGGTCCGTCTGCGAGGCGCAAAGCGTTGCAGACGGGCTGTCGGCGTCGCGCGATTCGACTGCCGACTGTTCGCTTTTCGGCAGTCCGCGCCCGCCAGACGGCCCGTTTTTCGGCAGTCCCCCTCTACCTGTGTGCCTGTCATGAGTTCAACCCCTCATAGGGGTTCTCTATGCAAAATATCAGGAAAACTTTTTTTTTGGTGTCTGGCCTCCTTTAAATCTTGTAAATTCGAAAATTAGCAAAAAAAGCTCACCGTTTGGATCTCTACCTCGCTTCCGATTCTTCCCCTAATCCGGGATGTTCGCTCCTCCGTCAAAAATTGAAATTCCTCAAAAAAGTCTTTGAGCTTCAGAACTTGGATATTCGACAGGCTGTACTGAAAATCATCAATTTTTGTATTTCTAACATTAAAAAAAATCACTCACTGGATTCTTGAAAGTCACTGGAAGCTCTGATGGTTGCATGGATACAATCGGAAGACGTTCTGAAAAAAATTGTTAAGTTTAGTGAAAAGGGAAAAAAACGCTAAAAATATATAATAATATCCAGATTGAAGTCGGAAATCGGGAACCCCAGGAAGAAGAAAGTAGGAAATGAGAAGTAAGAATTTCGGTTTAAAGGGACAGAGAAAAAGTAATAGAGCCAGCAGATGAGCCCAGAGGGGTCTAAAGAGGTCTAGAGGGGGGCTAGTGAGGTCTAGTGGGGTCTAGAGTAGTCTAATTAATTAAAGGCGCCAAAAGAGGTCTAGAGAGGCCTAGAGGGGCCTAGAGGGGCCTAGAAGGGCCTAGAGTGGTCCAGAGTTGTCTAAAGAGGCCTAGAGGGGCCAAGTAAGGTCTAAACGGGTCGAGAGGTGCCTAATGAGGCTTTGAGGAGCCTAGAGAAGCCTACAGGGAAAAAACCCAAAAAGGATACAATTACAGAAAGACAGTGAAGAAGTAATAGAGCAAGCAGATGAGCCCAGAGCGGGCTAGAGGATTTTAAAAAGAACTGAAAAGGATTAGAGGCGCCTAGAAGGGCCTAGAAGAGCTTAGAAAGGCCTAGAGGGTTATATATGGTTAGGATGCCAAGTGACTAGATATAATAATTGGGTAAGTGTCAAAAATGAGGGATGCATTCTGGCTACAACACTGCTAGGTTACCTCTTCTTTTCCGAATTTTTGGGATCGCAAAATTATGGTCAATTTCCTGTTTGATTTCCTCTTCTGGATTTTGAATGATCGGAGCTGGACTCTCCTCAATTTCCTGTTTGATCGGCTCATCGGCATTTTGAATGATCTGTTGCCTTTTTAGTCCTTCTGCCTCTTTTGATGTCCTTTCTTTGTAATAGCGGCGGACCTGAAACAAAGGGAAGTGAAACTGTCAAAAGTTTTGGAGACAGTTCTCCGTAAAGGTCAGGCGCCAATTTTCCAGATCGTGGAGCTCAGGGTGCGGAGCTCCCAATCCCTCAAATTAATTAAAAGAGTCCCCTTTAAGGCTGTTGAAATCGGGACCACGGTGTTACGGTACTTCTGGGATAGGTAGAATTCAGGCCTAGAAGTTTCTGAGTGGCTAAACCTACCCACAGCTAATGCCGCCGCTGACCACGGCCCTCTTTTTAACAGCCTTTGTCCAATTACAGAAGTAAAACTTACATCGGCCTCTGACACTTGATGAACCGTCGCCCAGGAGAGGAATTTTATATTCCTGATATCTGGCTCCCGATCATAAGTCATATGCAGCAATGCCATTTCGCTGGGAAGGTCCTGTTCAGCTCTTGGATTCTTCTCCAATTCTCGAATGTTCAGGTCTCGCTGCTCCTTGAACCAATTTTGGATCTGGAACAGTTTAGAAATTCAAAAAGTCAAAATTTTCAAAAAAAATACTGGCACATAATTCGGAGGGTACAACGATTCGGAGGTACAAGGAGGTACGAAGTGATGCTGGAGGTACAAAGTCCACAATTCGCAGTTACAAAATAAGTTTTTTCAGGTTTTTTTTCCAAAAAACTCACCGTTCGTGTCTCCACCTCGCTCCCAATTCTTTTCCTAATCCAAGATATCCTCTCGTTTGTCAGAAATTGAAATTCTTTGAAGAATTCTTTGAGCATCAGAATTTGGGAATTGGAGAGGTTGTGCTGAAAATTTCAGATTTCATTATTTTTTCAAAATAAAGAAAATAACTCACTGGAGTTTTGAAGGTTTCTAGCATTGGTGGCTGCATAATGAAAACTGGAGAACAATCTGAAAAAAAATTAATCGATAATAAATGCTTTAAAGTGCTGAAAATGATAGTAAGGATGGAATTTTTTCAAATTTTGGGTCGCTAAAAACTGGAATAAAGTCAGAAAATTAATAATGTTTTATAGAAATGGAGAAGAATAACTAGAAGAACAAGAACTGCCGCTCGAGAAGACGTAAATGAATGCGAATAGAAAGGGGGTCGATATCGTCCCAATAGAGCGCACTTGCATCGCCTAGCCCCCTGGGATAAAAACAAGTACACGCATAGTGTTTTGTTATTGATGAGGGTCAGATAAGATCTATTTGAGTAGACGGGCCTTTAGGGAAAGAGAGGAGAACCCCTAGAAAAGACAATTATAGACAGAGGGGCAAGATTTCCAAAAAAAAAAGACGATGAGGATTATTCGCCATGGTGGCCTAACTTTTGCAAGTTGAGTTTTCTAGGCCACCAACTCTCAAGAACTTGAAATGACCTAATGTTCACCTCTCGTGTTTTCTTTACCATGATGGCATATCTTTCCAAATTTGAGTTTTCTAGGCTATCAATTTCTATGGCCTAGAAATGACCTAACATTCACCTAGCGTGGTTTCTAGACCATTTACCTTGGTGGTCTAATTTTGCCAGATGAGCTTCCTTGGCCATCACATAATCCTCGTCCTCCGACGCCGTCTAACAGAAATTCTAGATTTTTAGATAACCATCAGTATCTGACAACTGTGAACAACAGATGAAGTCGAGAAAAAAACAAAAACAAAACAATTTCATTCTAGAAAACAATACGATTTTCAACAATCAAAATGGGAACAATTTGAAAAAAAATAACAACAGAAAAAAAGGCGGGAATTTCAAAATTTTGAAAATTCAAGGAACCTAGGTAGCAGTGCGCCACTTTTTAGGCTGTGGTGGGATATTGTGAGCGTCTTCTCCGATGACATCCGAAGGCTGAAAAAAAAGCAATCAAAAATTTAAAAAAAACGGATGGAAAAATGTCTTACCCTTGTATGAAGCCGGACGCTTACGAGGAGCCTTTTTGGGTTTTTGAGAAGCTTCTGGTGTGTATGGTTGAGATACAGATGCAGAGCGACGATATGGAGGCACTAGGCTTGATGTAGCATAACGTGAATACGAGCGACGCCGAGAAGCTCGCTGGTTGATGGTTGCTGGAGTTCTCTGAGTTGATCGGCCTCTTGTGGTGGATGTTGGAGCATCAGAAGACGTCAACCGTGCACGTGGAGCCAATGAGGCAGTGGAACGTCCTGTCGCTGAGAGTATCTGGACTCCAATGCCTTGTTGGTTGGTTGTTGGAATATCAGCAGATCTCAAGTGACTTCGTGGAGGGACTGGAATTGGATCATCTCGGAATGACGAGCGAAGTCGACCAGATATCTGGTTGGAGGCTGACTTCTCTGGACATCTCTGGGTTCCTCTGCCTCGCTGGATGATTGTTGGAGGATCAGAAGATCTCAAGCGTCGAAGTGAAGACATTGGATCAGTAGCACATCCTGGTGGGGGAGCGACGCCGAGAACCTCGCTGGTTGATCAATGGCGTCACTGAAGGTCCCTGATTTCCACTGTCCTGTTGGGTGATCGACTTCTGGAAATAGTAAAAATGAGCGAAATTCAAAGAAAAAGTTTTTATATCTTACTGACCGATTACTGTATTTTTCTGAATTTGATTTCTGAATTTTCAGGAAAAAAAAAAGCTACTTACAGCTTTCTGACAGTCCACCTCTCTTTTGTTTTCCTCGTCGTTGCAGATGACGTCATCGTCGGAAGCGCGAGCCATTCTGAAAATCGACAAAATTCTAAAAATCGCTAAAAATCGACAAAATCAGTAAATTTTGAGATAATCATCAGTATCCGACAAATGCAAATTACCAGAAAAATACAAAAAAGTTTCAATTTAAAAAAGTTTTTTTTTAATATAGAAAACAATAAAGAATTTCAACAACTTGAGGGGGAACAATTTAAAAAAAAAGAACAAGAGATAAAAAACAAAATTATCAGATTATCCAAGCTCGTAGGAAATTTCAAAAGTTAAGACAAAAGTTGAGGGTTAGTTAGAAAGGCGGGAAACTGGAAATTCAAATTTCTTGAAGCGGAGAACTCAATCAAATAACCGTATTCCGCTTCTTAGGCTGTGGGGCTCTTGTTCCTCTTCCACGGCCACTTGGGGCTGCTGTGGTTGGTCCTGCTTTGGCAGCAGCCACTTTTCCCTGACCACGACGATCAGAGGAAGCTACTGTAGTCGAGGATCCTGCTGCTCCAGTAGATCGCTTTGCAGGATTGTGTGAGCGTCTTCTACGAGGACAACCAAAGGCTGAAAAAGAAAAGGAATCAAATTTTGAACTAAAAAATGGTCGAGATGATGACTTACCCTTGTATGGAGCCGGACGCTTACGAGAAGCCTTTTTGGGTTTTTGAGAAGCTTCTGAGGAAGATGGTTGAGCTGGATGGCTTGGAGACGGTTGAGGAGCATCGGAAGCAGATGAAGGACGACGACGATGGGTTCCTGAATTTGCTGAAGATCCTAAGTTCCCTCTGGAGCTTCTTCTGCCTTGTTGAGTAGTTCTTGGAGCATCAGAAGGTGTCAAGGATCGACGTGGAGCCACTGGGGCCGTGAAACGTTTTCTTCTGCCCTGTTGGAGCATTGCTGGAGCATCAGCAGATCTCAAACAACGTCGTGGAAAGACCGGACTCGATGGAGCATTGATTGATGACGAGCGTCGTTGAGAGGCTCTCTGGATGATAGCTGGCTTTGCTGGAGATCCTTGGGTTCCTCTGCATTGTCGGGGGATCGCATCAGAAGGTGTCAAGGGTGTACGAATATTCACTCGGCGAGTGAAACGTCCTGTCCTTGAATTTCTTTGGATACTTCTGCTGCTTTGGACGGTTGCTGGAGCATCAGAAGGCGTCAACTGGCGACATGGAGCCAGTGGACTTGATGGAGCAGTGGGAGGGCTTGATGAGCGTGGGCGAGTAGCAGAATCGATGAGAGAGGGACCTAAAATGTTCCAATTAGTTTCTAAGAATCTCGTTGAATACTTACCTGTAGATCTTTGAGATCCTTTTTCTCTTCCAGTGTCGCTCCGGCTTCTCCGAGCACTCATCGGCACCACTGGACTGGTTGCCGCTCCTCCTGACATCCGATGACGGTCCTGCTGGGATAGTGTTCTTGAGAATGTCCTAGCTGGAGATTCAGCATCATCTCCTTGGCCATCAATGTCTGGTGTAGCTCCTCTTTGATTCCTGCTAATCCAGCTTTCCAATGAGTCGGGTTCGGTGGGTGCTTGACACTGACTGGGCCTTATTTTGCCTCTTTTTGGTCCGGATGGCTCAACGACCTGGCAATCTTCTTGATCCTCGCCCTCAGGTTCTCGAAAATTAAAATTGGGATATCCCAGCGTTTCTGCTTTATGGAGTTTAAAGATCAGAAAACCTGAAGCAATGGCTCAAAAACTTCAAAAATCGACTCTAATAAAGATAAAAACTACAGTACCCCATTGTGTGCTTGCATTCCTGGTATCCGTTGGCTTCGGAACCCTATAAGCTATTGGATTCATCAATACTCCCGAATGCCTTTTGATCCCATCCCTCCTATCAATCCCATTTCGATATGCATAATATTCTTTGATCTGAAAGTTTTAATTATTGATTTTCGACCTCTAAATGGTCCAAAATGTATCGAGCTAAAGCTCGAAATGCTAGAAAAACAACTTACATCGCCTTCTTCAATTTGACAAGCCTTGAAGACGTGCGAGAAATTGATGGTGCTGATTTCGGGCTGCCGATTGTAGGTCATGTGAAGCCAGCCCATTTGAGAAGGCAGGCTCATGACAGCGTCTGGCATGAGATGGTCCAGGATTTCCTTCCGGAAATGGGCAAAAGTCAGACGAACCTGAAATTTTGGATTTGTTGAAATTTGGAACTAAAAATCCAGGCAAAAAAGAAAAATACCGTATTTCCTCTAACGGGAGCACAACCCAAACCGTCAACTTTGAGCTCAATTATCTCGATTCCTGTGATAGATATTGAAAAGTTTTCAACAGATAAAATGTAAATCACATTATCACCAACATTTTATTAGTTTACAAGTTTTGAATATCTGTTACAGGAAGCCAGATAATTGAGTTCAAAGGTTGGGTTGGGTTCTGTTATGGGAAAAACGGTGCGCTTTTAAATCACGAGATTGAGATTTTTTTTGTTTTGAAAAAAAGATTTTCAGATTTTAGAAATTATGTTTCAAATACTAAAATTAAAACTATCACTTTCAATTTTTAATCATTTTCAACAAAAAAAAAAAGAAACACTCCCCAAATGGTATGGCACCCTAGGAACCACTAAATCCAAAATCCATCGACGATCATCGTGGACATATTGGAGAAGTGTGTCGAACACTTCTCGGACCCTTTCAAAATCTTCTGGATGATTTTTTTGAAATTCTTCGACCTTCTTTTTGTCGAGCTGCAAAATATGGATTTAAGTAAGTTTATCTAGTCAAAATTGATATTTTCGGGTGGTGTCTGTCTGTTTATCTGTGGGTCCGAATGTCCAGGAATTTTCCAAGATTCAAAATTTCTCAAAAATCAAACATCAGATTCAAACGCTTCAATTTATATATTTTTGAGACCTATAATGCGCTAATTAAGAAAAAAAACTTACAGCTTTCTGTCGTTCCACCTCTCTTTGGTTTTCTTCATCGTCGCTGAGGTAGATGACATCATCGTCTGAAGCCATATTTTTCGAAGATTCTAAAAATCGAAGAATTAGCAAAACGAAAAAATTAAATGAGGAAAAATAAGTAAGTGTAGTCAAAATAAGGATGAGAATAGACTACCGTATTTCCCCCAATAGAAGCTTACCCAATCTGTCAACTTTGAGCTTAATTATCTCGGTTCTCGTGAAAGATATCAGAAATTTCTTAACTAATAAATTGATGATCGTATTATAACCAAAAGTTCATCAGTTGGCAAATTTTTGACATATTGCATAGGAGTCGAGATAATTGAGCTTAAAGTGGAAGGCTTAAGTGGGCTTCTATCACAGTCATACCGTAACTTTGGGTTCGATTATCTCGGTTCCCGTGAAAGGTATCAGAAAATTGTCAACTGATAAAGTGTTTATCATAATATTGCCAAACTTTCATCAGTTTACACATTTTTGATATCTCTTATATGAACCGAAATAATCGAGCTCAAAGTTGACGGTTAGAATAAGCTCTGTGATAGGGAAATCGGCAAATTATTCAAATTATCAGGGTTTAATTAAGAATTTTAGGCCATTAATATATGTTCTTTCAATCAAAATGAAAGTCCTGGAAGACGGAAATAGGAGGTGTAGAAGACCTAGAGTAGACGGAGCAATGAAATGGGAAGTGGAAGATTCTGGTGAATAGAAATAACGAGGAAGAATAGAGGAGAAGGTGGCTCCTCCTCTTTTTCACCCATGTAAAAGGTTACCAGAGAGTATACAGAGGTGAAGAAGGGTCGTAAATAAGCAGGAAAGCAAGCAGAATCGATAGTTCACACTCAGGAGCTCCTGGGAAAGGATAGTTTCAGCCTAACTGAAGATGATGGAACCAGAATTGTATGTCATAAACACTCAAAGTCATAAAAGATACCGTCAAGATGAACCATCTCATCTGGGATAAATATCAGTGAGCACTGTGTTTGGATGGGACAGATATGATGTATTTGAGTATAGAGATTCTATTAGAATAAAAGTAGTACAGAGAGGGTCCAGGTAAGAAAAGACCATTTCAAAAAGGGAGGAAAGACACACATAGAAGAGAGACTGAACACAATTCAAAATTGCCAACTTTGAATATCGACAAAATATGCCGTAAACACTCTAATAGATCGCCGCCCGAATCGTCAAATTTGAGCCCATGTTTCTCATTTTCTGTGAGAGATATCAAAAAGTGGTTAACTAAACAAATGTTACTGATTCATGATAAACATTCTATTAGTTGACAACTTTTTGTTGTCTTTCAAAAGAAGTGAGATATACAGGCTCAGACAAGGACGTTCCGGGTGGCTTTCTATTGGAGTCTTACGGTAGTAGCTTTTGTTGGATAAGCTTCAGTGGGCACTCAAAATCAAAGTCCTGAAACGGAGTTTTAGTGGGGTTTTCAGGTCCAAAACTATAATTTTCAGGTTAGAAATCAGTAATTTTCCATGTAAAATTTGAAATTTTCAAGTCCAAAACTATGATTTTTAGGACAGAAATTCAATAATTTTGAGTTCAAAATTCAAAATTTTTTGTTTAAAAATTTAAATTTTAGACGTTTTTTGTCCAGATATCTCCTTATTCACATATCTGTCTGTTTATCCGTCTTTCCAGATGTCTAGGGTAAGATCTAGCTAGCCAAAATCAAAACTGCAATCCAAACATGTTGATTTTCTCCTTTGGAGGATTCTGAAAAAACTGAAAATTAGCAGAAAGTTGAAAAAGATCACTGAAAATAAATGTAAAGATGAAGTTCTCGGATAAAGTCAACCGATTACAATCCATAAAAAAACAAGGACCATTAAAATTCAAAAACACAAAAAGTAACATGAGCAATCAGAAAACTCATAGATTATTTGTGAGATTATTAATAGAGAGAGAGGGAAATAGGACATGGAATAGAAAATAAACATGAAAAAACGAGAAAACAGGGTTAGAGAAAAAAAAATTAAGATTTCAAAAGAAAGGAAAGATGAGCAATGAGCCTTAGAATCCGTGCAATTTAGTTCTTCTTGGGTTTCTTGAACGATGGCGTGGCTCCAGATGATGATCGACCTCTTGGGCGACGGAATGGTCCCGGAGATGATGGTGGAGAAGACTCTTCTGGAAATTTTCAGAATTTTAGAATTTCAGCAACATTCTGAAAATTTACCTTCAGCGTCTTCCTCGCTTGGCAACACCACCCCACGGATCTTGTCTCGCTCCGCTCGCTCCTTATAGTAGGTGCGGATCTGAAATTATGATTTTTTTTTCCATTTTTCAGTTTTGTCTGGAATTTACAATTTTGCAAAATTAAAATAGACAAAATTTCCTACAGTTTTGTCAAAAAATCATATTTCTAGCGCTTCTAGGAAGCAAGATAAAGCCGCTTTAAATTCAGGAGGCTAGAGACGCAGACGACGAGACACACTGAGTCTCTAACCTCGGAAACTTCAAATGACCGTATCTCGAGTTCTAGATGAGCTAGGAAGTTGGTTGTTTGAACAGAATTGTAGGGTTTGAAATGGGGTTTTTTAATACTGTAATTTAGGATCCATAAAAAAGTACTTACATCCGTCTCACTGATGACGTGGACCTTGGCCCAGGTGAAGAAGTTGAGCTTCTTGACGTTGGGCTCTCTATCGTATGTGAAGTGGAGGAAGGCCATCTCCACCGGAAGACGCTCGTAGGCGCGTGGACCCTCTCCGTCCTTCTCGATTTCCTGAAGACGTCGTGCCGCAAACCATTCAGAGATCTGAAATTAAAGAACAGCGTTTGTTGGTTGTTGATCTAGTGGTCCCAAAAACTGTCAATAAAATTTGAGCTCCCAAAATGGTGCCTAGATATTTTGAGCGCCCAAAAAAAAGCTTAGAAATTTTGACCTTTCAAAAAAGCCTGGAATTTTTGAGCTCCCAAAAGACGCCTACAAATTTTGAGCTCCCGAAAAAATGCCTTTGAGTTTTGAGCTACTAAAAAATACCTAGAAATTTTGGGATACCAAGAAAACTTCTAGAAGTTTTGGGTTCCCAAAAAAGCTTTGAAATTTCGAGCTTCCAAATAAAGTCAAAGAATTTTGATTTCCCAAAAAATTCCTATAAATTTTGAGCTCCTGAAAAATGCCTAGGAAATTAGAGCTCTCAAAAAATACCTAGAAATCTAGAGATCTCAAAAAATGCCAAAAATATTCGATGTCTCAAAAAATGCCTAGAAATTTTGAGCTCCCAAAAAATACCTAGAAATCTAGAGATCCCGAAAAAGTGCCTAGAAATTTAGAGACCCCGAAAACTTCCAAAAAGTCGAAACTTGCAAATTTTTGGCTAAAATTCAGAAAATGCCAAAAATCCTAAAAACCTTCAAAAACTAACCTCCTGATTCTCAAAGCAATGCCCAATCTGGCTCTTGATTTTTGACATCCTCTTTTCAGTCAAATACTGAAAATCCTCGAAGGACTCCTCCAGCACTTTGACCACTTCCTCCTGAAAAAATTTGAAAAATTTGAAATCCAAAAAATCCTATTTTCAAGGTTTCCTCTAAGAATTTGTTTCAAAAATCAGCCGATTTTGGATCAAAATCCAAAAAATCATTTTTTTTTTCATTTTTTGGCTCCAAAAAATTCCTTTCGGGTCCAAAAACCAAAAACTCACCCCCAAAGGATACTTCAAAGACGACGATGAACTTTTTTGAGTTCTTGGAGTCTTGGCAGCTGGAGACGACATCTTTCAGACGATGAACGAAGATTTGGATCTGAAAAAATGAATTTTTGAATAAAAAAGAGCAATCAAGGACAAGAAAAATGATAAAGCTAGAGGTTTTGGAACAAGAATTTGAACGAAAAAGTGTAAAATTCAAAAATATCGAGCACAAAAATAAGAAATCTGAACCAAGATTTGCAAGATTTCGAGTCAAAAAAAGAAATTTGAAAACATTCAATGTCAAAATATAGATTTTTTGCGATTCGAAAAATGATGATTTTTCAATAGATCACATTGAGAAAAATTTTTTTTTGGTAGATCAAAAAAATTTTTTAGTCCTAAAATACAATTTGAAAGTCTAAAAAATGACTTTTAGGTAAGAAATCCAAAATTTTTAGAACCAAACGAGATAGCTTTAGATTCAAAAAACCAAAAATTTGGTCTTTTTGACAAAATTCAACTGGTTTCAGGTTTGGAATACAGAATTTGAAGTCCCAAAATTGACATTATTGAGTTCAAAATTTCAATTTTATGGTCAAATTAGAGATTTTCAGATCCAGATGGAACTAGCGATTTCTAGACTGAAAACAAAGGTTTTCGAGTCAAAAGAAATGCTATTTATAGATCATAAACGTGGATTTTGGGTCCCAAAAACTATAAATTTGACGCCAAGATTTATTTTTTCGGCTATCTCTATTTTCAAATTCAGCTCAATCCATATATTTGTGTTTCCTGATGTTCTTCTCTTCTTTTCTAAATATTAAAAAATTGGGACTCGAAAATCACTAATTTTGACGAAAAAAAAGACCAGATGCACCAAGTCATATCTCCTGATTTTTAATATTTTTTGCGATTTTTCTAGAATCTTGAATGCCTCTTTTTTCGAAATTTTAGGCTTAAAAAAAAGAGACGCAACGTAAAAACAGCCCGAAACTTAGAAAACGAGGAAAAGATAAACATGCTAATAACCAAGTTGAGCCGATCCGTCTGTCACCTGTACACGCGTTGCGGTCACGCAACGCGGTCATTAGCTAACGAACACTTACTTGTGCCTCTCAAATTGCGGCACTCTCTCGCTCTTCACACCATCCCACTTCCCGCCAACAGGCATTCAAAACTCAAAAAAGTGACCGGGGTCTGCGTCTCTTGCTTCCCTTATACTCTCTCGCTGAGAGAAGAGTGTGCGTCTGTTGCTTGTCTAAAAAGTAATGAATAAAAACAACCAAAAAGGAGTAACAATTCCTTGAGAAAATGGTCGATGCACCATTTATCATTTTGAGAAAAAAAACATTGTCAGCAGCTGATGAAGACACCAAGAAATATGAAATTTTTTAAATTCAGATTTTCAGACTTTCAGAAAGCAGAAAAAAAAAGGAAATCTGCAAAATGGAAACAAATTTTAAATCTGAAAAATCAAACAATGAACATGAAGTGGAAGAATTTGATGTCCAAAAAACGGCGAAAAATGAAGAATACCGTAAATACAGTAATAGAACGACATCCGAATCGTCAAATTTGAGCCCATTTATCTCATTTTCTGTGAGAGATATCAAAAAGTAGTTAATTAATGAAATGTTGCTGATATCATGACAAACATTTTATTAGTTGACAACTTTTTTATATCTCTCAAAACAAGTGAGATATATAGGCTCAAAACAGACGGTCAGGGTGGCGTTCTATTACGGTTTCTGAAATCTGAAAACCTAAAAATTAAAAGCTTTAACCGGTTTTTTGACACCTGAAATTAAATCTTTTTTCTCAAAAAAAAACTGAATTCAAAATGTTGAAAATTTTAAGCAAACTACAATTTCAATTATCTCATAATTTGTTTTTTTTCAGATATTTTTTCCAGGAAACAACACATTTTTATTTTCAAAAGTTTCGCGTACCAAACCTTCAACTACACTGAACTCTCTGGAATTTTAAATCCAAAAGATCTATATTTTCCAGGTTCTCCATTTCCCCAAAAATTGCAAAATTTCCGTTTTGTGCTCCCTCCCCACCTCCATTTTCAAATTACCTCTTTTAATTGCATCACGTGCAAAAGCTTTTTTTTCAGTCAAAAAGTGCATGTTCTTCTCTCCATTTTTCTTATCAGTCGGTCGGGGGCTCTTTCTCTGTTCCCTCCATTTTTACTGTGATATTTCTCTGTCCCTTCTCCACTGGTTTTTCCGTGTCAGTGGTCAGTACAATCAGTTTTCCGAAAATGTTGAGTTTCGAAAATAAAACGATGATTATGGTTCAATTTGAAAGGAAGGGGAGGAATAGCGGTCAACGGGGTGTCAGTCAGGGAAATTCAAAATTTCGGAACAAAATTTGAATTTCAAATGGTTGAGAAAAATTGAAATTCAGGAATCTGCTAGAAATCAAAATCTTGAAGACAGTTTTTTTTGTCAAATTGATAACTTTGAAATTTTCAGAATTTTCTCGATCATCATAAATCCCTGACTCAAAAATTGTTTCCTGCTAATTTTTTCTAACTTTTGCAAGAATTTTCGAGTTTTTTGCAAAATAATGAATTGCGAAATTTACCGAAAACTATGATTTCTATGATTTTCTAATTTTGATAAATGTCCCGCTAGAAGCTAGAAGCTGAAATTGAGTTTTCATGAATTTTTTCGAAAATTTGAAAATAATTTCAAACATTTTCCTGGAATTTTCCTGAAAGTTCTCTGAAAATTAAAAATTTAAGACCTATGCATCTGAAAAAAAAATTTGAAATTCAGAAATTCAGAAATTCAGAAATTCAGAAATTCAGAAATTCAGAAATTCAGAAATTCAGAAATTCAGAAATTCAGAAATTCAGAAATTCAGAAATTCAGAAATTCAGAAATTCAGAAATTCAGAAATTCAGAAACTCAGAAATTCAGAAAATCAGAAATTCGGAAATTCAGAAATTCAGAAATTCAGAAATTCAGAAATTCAGAAATTCAGAAATTCAGAAATTCAGAAATTCAGAAATTCAGAAATTCAGAAATTCAGAAATTCAGAAACTCAGAAATTCAGAAAATCAGAAATTCGGAAATTCAGAAATTCAGAAATTCAGAAATTCAGAAATTCAGAAATTCAGAAATTCAGAAATTCAGAAATTCAGAAATTTAGAAATTCAGAAATTCAGAAATTCAGAAAATCAGAAATTCAGAAATTCAGAAATTTAGAAATTCAGAAATTCAGAAATTCAGAAATTCAGAACCCCTTTTTGAAAAATCTGCTCCTAGATAATTACTGTTAAAATGATAAAACCTTTCATACACAGTACCGGTCAATAAGATATGCGAAAACATATTTTTCAGTCGATTTCTAGACATTTTGACCATTTTTAGAACTTTGAAGTTCGGCTGTCAAAGTTCCGATCATTTTGAAAAGTTTAGAGGGTTTAGAACAGACCTAGAACAGACCTAGTTTGAAAACTTAGCATTTACAAAATTGTTTGAAAATGCTTAATTTTTCAGCTATTTGTCGATTTTTTAGAGACGCCTGTTTCTCACAATTTCAGTACGAAAATGGGACAAAAAAGGTGTCTTTCAGAAAACTGCAAAATTTTGAAACTAGGAGTTTTCGAAACAAACATTCTCTGAACGCCAAGTTTTCAATATAGGTCTTTTTTACACTCTTCAAAATTTTCAAAGTGTTCGAAAACTTGACAGCCTAGCTTCAAGCTCCGGAAACTGGTCAAAATGACCATAAGTTAAGTGAAAAAGATGTTTTTGTGTAATTTATTGCCTGGTACTGTAGATTGGGTCCAAAATTTCAAACTACTAGTTGCATCACCCGCTTAATATTTTTAATCAAAAAATTTCCATTTTACTCCCAAAAAAAAAAACTCCTGTCAAAAATGAGTCGTCACACCAGGCACAATCATTTCCCTGTCAATCAGTGCCACGTAGTCTCCCGAAATTTCTTCAGAAATCTGTCAAAAAAGAAGAAGGAAAGGCGGCTCGAATTCGACTATAAAACGAGGAGCGGGTGTGCAGAGAGAGAAGAATTGATAACTGATAACAGGCTCTTTTTGACAATTTCTTTGTGTTCTTCACCATTTTTGAGCACACAATTAGCAGAGAGACAATAGAAAATTTTGGGGTTTATCAGTTATCAGTCCTCTCTATATTCCTTTGTTCGAAAATTGAAAATTTGAAGTTTCAGTTTTTAATCATATTCTATTAGTATTGTTTATTTATATACTAAAACTTTGAAATATTACTTTCCCAAGGATTACGGTAAGCTATAAGTCGTAAGTCGAAATTCCAAAGAGCTGTGAATTTGGATAGCTGTGCTCTGAGGAAATAACAATAGTCACACCCCATGTCATTTCATCAGGCCATAGCTGTCCAAATTTCTCGGTTCGCATGTTTTTAATTTTTTTTTAAACTTTTGATTGTTTTGAAAAATGAAATTATGGGCAAACATTGTAGGACAGAAGGATCAGAGGGTTAAAAAAACATACAGTTCCTTTTTAGTAGTTGAAAATAGTCAACTTCGAACGTCTAAAAAATATAGAAGTTTTCCTGTTACTGTACTTTTTAGAGAAATTTAAACTATCAGGTTTACAGCTAAACCATTAGCCTTGAGAAAAAAATCGAATCTTTGATACAACGATTTTTTCTGAAAGGGCAAAAAAGAACAGTGATTTTGCAGGGAACGGGTTTAAAGAAACATTAAAGGTGGGGGGACATGAAAAAAATAATTTTCTCGAAATTCCGTTCAAAGATGCCCCTCGAGGAGTTGAACTTGTGAGGGCGATGATTGAGGGTGCGGCGCCGCAACCGACTGAGCCACGTGGGCAAACAGAAAGGGCACGCCCGATTGCATACATAAAGGCGAGGACGACAGCTGTACGCAGAGTGACATTAAGCGTTGTACACCGTGACGGTAGAATGCATACTCTGGCTACAAAAAACTACGAAAAATCTCCTGTACCCCCACC